AGATGGTGTTGTGAAAACGATGACAGAGAGGTTTAGGAATTCCAGAGAAAGCTTGCTGTGGTGCAGCAGTCACTCAGGCGGTGCAGTCTTCTCTCACTCTTGCATAAGATGATGTAAGATGATGAAGAGCTTAACTGTGATCAGTCCTGTTCTGGTTGTTAATTACTGGTGACTGCATTGCTTTTGATAGAATGAGAGGAGTGTAAAACAGGCCCACAATTAAAGTCTGATTTTGATCTTAGCAGCTTCAGACAATATATATGCAAATGTCTTTGGAGACTAGTTCAAATATTTTTACAGTGTTGCTCAAAAAGGAAAAGAGCAGGTTAGTCAGTGGTCAGTCAGAACAGGAGAACATGACCTACTTTCACTTCAAAACCAACGACATTGACCACAGTGGTCTTATCTACATACTCAAGTTTGTCCCGCATCTCTACTTCGTATTAAAACAAATGGCTGCTGTATTCTCACCTTTACTGGGGAAGAACAGCTCATTCAATAACTGTGTGCATCCGATCCTTAGTTGGAGAGACGTATCTTTACATTTTCACATCAGGGGAATGTATGTTTTTTTCCATCTGGATGTAGGTACTGCCAAGCAAAGCATGCTTGATAGGAAAGGCACATCCTTTTTTATGAACCCTACAGCTGAGAGCAGCCTTTGTCACCCGTACTCAGCCACTGAGGTATTATGAGAAGAGCTTCAGCTTTGGGACTGTGTTACACAGAGAAAAAGATAAAAATAGGGTGTCTGACGCACGCATCCCGTGTTGCATGCCAGGAAACAGAATCTTTATACCAAGTACAGTATTCCAGAGCATGCATGGAAAATATGCGTGTATGTGAATGTGTGAAATCTTTCCTAACTAATAGAAATACTCAGTTCCCCTTTACCCCTTCCCCTTTCACATTCACCTTGTTTTCTGTTTCCTTTACCTTTTGACAAATGTCATAGCCCGGAGTATTACATCTCTTCCTGTACTGCCCGTGCTCCCCTTTTCATTCTTCTGAATGATGTGACAGTAATGTCACACTTCTGCATTTTGAGGGAGCCACAGAGTATTCTTGCTGTACCTGCTGAAAGCGTGCAGAATCTTGCCTGTTCTCCAGACATCTACAGCATGCTAAAAACTCTTCCAGAGTTCAATATTATCAGTTACAGACACTGTACGTTGGGAGAATGACTAAATGTAGTCAACAGTATGTGCCCCTTCAAATGTTAATCCTTGCACTGTTGTCTGTTATTGCTTCTATTGGAATATCAGTCACATAATGTAAAAGTAACGAATATGATGCATTGAGGAAAACACAAAGAGAAATACGTATTTGAGATCCGAAGCCTTCTACTGCAGAGCACAAAACTTACAGTTGAGTAAGGATTTTGCCTGTGTTGGTGACTGCAAAATCAACTGTGTAGTAACTGGACTAGCAACCTTATCTTCCTGGATGTTTTTGACACTTCCATTCCCTTGAAATCTCATGTTTGTTCATCATGCCGAGCACTGTTTCTCTTCACATTCAGAACTACCAGGTGAGGAAGAGCTCCCAGAGAATGCGTGCTTAACAATATGTGATGTATCCAGAGAAAGCTCACAGCTTAGCGAAGCCCAGCAGAGCTGTACAATGGGACCTTAAAAAGAGAAATACAATCGTAAATCTAGTTTGAAGATCACACAGTTTAAAGAACAATGTAGAATATGCATCTGATATCTTAATATTTATTTTCCAGCATTTAAACTCTTCTCATGGGAAGGCAGGGATGCAGAGGTGAGGGCTTTGTATTTTAGGTTGATTCCTAGTAAAAAACCTGTGGGAAAAATACCGTCTGAGACTCACAAGTGGGTTATGAGGTACAGCAGTAGCTAGGTTCTGATTTAAAGATAAAGCCTGAAATGGCAGAACCCAATGCAAGACTAAGATTTTTTGACCCGTTCGCCCTGATTCAGTAAAACACATGGCTATCTCAGTGTGTGATTTTGCTTTTGACGAATTGAGGTTTAAGTTACTTGCTGGTCTATTTTTACTTTTTAAGCAGCCTTGTAATTCAATATGGGTTTGTTTTAATTTTACACCCTCCATAAAAAGCACCCTCCGTAACAAGCTGGAGAAGTCACTGCTGGTAATGCATAGCTACGTAGTTTTTTCTTCCAGCAGCTTCCTGTAGAAATTCAATCGGTTCGTGTGTCACACCTTATTACTTTTTCCTCTGTGAACCTGCGTTACGCTCACGATCGAAAATACCCACCAGTACCCCATGTCTCCTCCGTCACCATGGCCTCAATGCTGAGGCTTCTAGAGATGTTGACGCGGCGTGAGATCAGTCCAGGCTGAATCCAGGTCACTCTGCTAGCCCTACTCAAGTCTGTGGCAGTAGTAAACAGCTATGGCCGCAAGGCACGCGGGGACAGAGATGTGCTGAGTAAGACGGTGGCTTCCCTGTGGTCACCAGCTGTGCTGGGAGCACACAAGCTGCTCAGACTGCATCTCTACGGTTTGGGAGTTAAAACCAGGAAATTCTGTTTTTGCAGCATAGCACAGATCTTGGTGTTGAGAATCTTTCTGCTGCCAGACGTAGGAGTCACGTGTTTTGAGAACTACCTTGTTTTGAAGGGGAAGTACACTGTCGTGGTACAGGCTGGGGCTACGGAGATGGCTGACAGTGGGGTCAGAGGCAGGAGAGCTGAGGACTGCTGCAGTATGACAAAGCTCAGCCTCATGGCAGGCATGTTTCAAACTCCTGCTGGAGAAAAACACCTTTTTTTTTTAAGGTCTCCCACTGAAATCTTGGAAATGCAGCTTCTTGAAGTTATTCGAGCAGCAAATCAGAAAGTCACTGCCACTTTTTGCTTGTGACCCAGCAGAGAAGCAGCCTGTCACCTGCTGCTCCTGGCTCTGAGGCTGGCAACTGAACTAAAAGACACAGTCCGTAGGACCTCTGTGAGAGCTGAGGCTGAGATCTGCTTTTCTGTCTCCACCGTTCTGACAATGCCTGTACTGGAGACAGGGAAGAGATGTGGAGGAGTTAATGAAAGCATCAGAGCCTCCAGCCTTCTCCACAAAGAGCTACACACATTAAAGGAATGGCAGCAGATCCTCCTGCTTGATCTAGGATCATGGGAGAGGCCCACCCAGCAAATCTTCTCTGGAAAAATAAATAAAAAGCTGTAGGGAAGTAGCTTTGTTTGCATTTTCCTACACCATAAATTAAAACTGTTCCTGCTCGCCAAGATGTAATCAATGGTATAAAATAGATCTGAGTTAGTGACGGTGTAGTGATGCTGTACACCTCCTGAAAGCCTGGCCTCTTCCACCTGAATCATTAGCAGAGAAAAGTACATTTATAACAGCGAGAACATTTCCTCAGCACTACAAAACTCCTGTAACTGCCCACCTGGTTCATGCTCCTCTTTCCTGCAGCTGCCTTCCCACACTGCAGAGCTTCACAGGTGGAAGAGAGTTATTCTGAGGGCTTGCTTCCCAGCGTCAGGTGGTAGGATGAAGAAATGGTAGAGTGATGAGAGATGGAAGAGCAAGGGGACTGTGAGACTGCTAGTGCCTGTGTGGCTGGGATTGACTCAGCATGGGTGTGGGCAACAGAAGTGGTTGGGGCCTGTGGCAGGCACAGTCCCTGAGCTCGCTTCTGAGTGCTGCTGTGCTGTGAGCTCTGTGCCCTGGTTCACTGCACAGGGTGTAGCTGCCTGGGCTGCCTGGCTGCAGTGATGGTGTGACAGGCACACCGAGGTCAGTCAGGAGGTGTGAGGAGAGGAAACCGTAAAACCTCTCTGCCTGCCTGGGACACATTCTGCATGCAGCAGCAAGCTCCCTTTGCATGGCATGGCAGTATGAGCCAGGAGCTCTGGCTTGCCTGTTACCTGCCTGTTTTTGCCAGGCATTGGAGCAGATGTACTCAATTCAATTATTTCCCTGTTGCTCAGTGCACTCCTCATCTGCCAGGCTGTTGGGCTCACTGAGCTTGCTCATCCTGGGCTTTTCTGCAGCCAGGGCTGATCTTGAAGACCCTTGTAGTCTGAAGATGAAAAGTTAGGCGGGTGAGCCAAACTGGCAGGTGTGGAGCTCAGTTTGTGTCTGCTTGAAGTCAGCCTCTACTTGGCAGCATCTCTTGTATCCTTGTTTTTCACAGAGTTTAGGCTGGCCTCACCTTAAACACTGAGCAGCGCACAGAGCCGTGAGGCCTGGTGCTTTGGAGCAGAGCTGCTGATGACAGAGGAGTGGGATGCATGCGGCTCACTCGTGCTGTCTGCTCTCCCTAGGCAGACTGGGCTTTGCACTGGCATAAACCCTAGGTGGCTTCTTCAAAGCAACAGTTTTGAGGGCAGGCACTACTGCTTTGACATGTAGTAGAAATAACTCTTGTTGGCATCACAGTTGTCACTGTAACACGAATGAGACTCAAGTCAGGCCAAGTAGCTTCAGTGAGATTTCAGTGCAATTCTAAGAAGAATTTGCACACGTGGTGAGCATCGAGTTGTGCACACGTGATCTGTCTTCATTCTGTTCCAGTTTTTATTGGCATAAAAATCAGTGAGGGGAAGTGTCCTGCACATCCTCCACATGTGGAACAACCCAGGTAGCTTAGGGGTGGATCATCTATGCTCTTTTCCACATGCAAACCCCTTTGGCATTGCTACCCTCAGTACTGCAGATGAACATTGACTGTGTTGTTTTGTGTTTGTTTGTTTGTTTTTGCCAAACTCTGCAACAGAATTTATGCAAAGATTTCTCTGGACATAGCAAGAGTGCACAAAAGTTCACCTCATCTAAAATGCCTCAGGTCCTCTGGGATAATGAGACATTTTCTGAGTGCACCTTTTTATTGTACCAATATTACGTTACAGGCAAAAATTGAAGGGGGAAACTTAACACATAGCACCTGTCACAAGTTCTTTCCTTGAATTAGGCTCTCCTGCTTATAAAAATTTAATTGATTCCTAGCATTTATGTCCGTGGTGCTCAGTGGGCGTTTTCTGTTCTCTTGCCAGCTCCATGGTTACTTAGAAAGCGAGCCCCTGACGCTACAGCTGTTCATTGGGACTGCAGACGACCGCCTGCTGCGACCCCATGCTTTCTACCAGGTTCATCGAATCACTGGGAAGACTGTTTCCACCACCAGCCACGAAACAATACTTTCCAACACCAAAGTCTTGGAAATCCCACTTCTTCCAGAGAACAACATGAGAGCAACGTAAGACCCAGACATTATGCCTGACTGCTTAGCATTTTTCTCTTGGTCTTCCTGCTTCATTTCTTCTGATTTGTGATTTGTTTTTTTTTCCTTGTATACTATTTTCCTTATTCTGTCCTTTTTTTTTTTTTTAACTCCATTCAGTAGTAGTAAGTTTTCACAACTTCACTAGCACGAACTGCCTCTCATCAGCTTAACAACAAAATGAACTTTGCAAATATTTATGACAACTGATTGCTTTCAATCTAGAGTTTCAGCCAATGTGCTTATTTGCCATTTAAAATAAGTGTCTCGGTTACCAAGCTCTAAATATCTCCTACCTCAGCTCCTGCATTTAGTTTCTAAATATGACACCTCTTACTCCTGTATGTGCTAGCACAAGGAACAGGGCCTATTAAAATTTATCTTTGGATGTCAAAGGAACCTCTTCTAGAGAACATTTCCAAGTGACCTAGCCTTTTTCATGACAAACAAAACCATTCTTAGTTCTTATGTAATAAAAATCCACATTTTCCAATGGCATTTGTTCAGAAGCAAAATTTTTAGGAAAGGAGTTAAAACTTACAGAATGCAGTTACTAAACTGGAATGAGTTTTTCCATGCAGGAAAGAAAGCACCAACACCTTAGAACTTCTGATTTAATAGGAATCTGAGTGTTAGTGGTAAATTTCATTGCAGGATTGTGTATAAGGCATCCAATATGAAGCTGTGTATGTGACATAAGCAAGGCCCTCAGTATGATTTAATCCACTCCCCTCTTCAACCCTCATTCAATGATGCTAACCCTTCTCCAAATCACCTGCCTTGGGAGGAATTTGTATGTGCATCTACTGATGTATTAATGTGCACGTGTACATATATGTACACATGGATGTGTGCATCTTTGTGTGTATTTATAGGGAGACAGAAAGGACAGGAAAATAAACAGACAAAAAGAAAGCAGGCCCCACCACAACAAAGACCAAGGGAAATCCCAGGGAGCTTTCAAAAACTGTGATTTTACTCCTGGTTATTCATACACTGTTTTCTGCACCTTAATGAAGTGAAAAACGGTATCAGACACTTGAAGCCCTTCTGTATGTAGCAGTTATTAGAAGCTGGTTTGCAGTGTCGTGTGCAACATGTGCTGGAGTGCATCATGTAAATAGAAGAACTAGAATGTGGCTAACTGCATTGCCAGCTGGGATTAGGATCATCACTCAAGATCTGAGGACCTCTGTCAGTTCATTGTGTTAAGTCGTGACGAGAATGCAAAATTAGTGGCCCCATTCTCTGTCGTTGGAAGCTGGCACAATTCCATTGAGGTTATTGAAACGTCACCATTTTGTAACACAGAAAATATTTCTTGGTCCTTCTTTTATCCAGTTTGAATGATATTTTTTGCCATATGGAAACATTAATACTGCTTCTATCATCTTTCCCTGTAGAATAAAGATAGTCACACAGTTCTGGAGCCAAACTGTGTATTTTCATGACACATATGCCAGATCATAGTAGAGTTCTCCCAAGAACCACAAACAATGCTTTGGCTTATATAAGCCTAGTATGTCAATGCTCTAAAACCTCATGTAGGCTAACAATGAACTGAAATTTAGAGCCAAGGACTTTTCTCACAAATACTTTGTGTGTTTGGCTTTCGTATAATGAAGCAGTGGAGCTTATCTGCATATTTTAACTTTGCAAATATAATTGCTCCCATCAATTTCAAATGCTAATATCTATGACTTTACAAGCCTGATTTGTGCTCCTCTGTACCTTACAGAGTCTGAACCAATTGTTGAGGTTTTTTGATTTTGTTTTACAACTCTTGCTATGAAAGAGGGCAATGGTGAGATGTACATCATTTCTTCTCTGTCATGGATTATTGCATAAAATTTTGACATACGTACAAATATTTCTTAATTCTTATGACTTCCTCTGCTAATATGCTTTGTTAAGAAACATTAATATGTTCATTAGCTTCTTTGATCATACCAGCAAAGGTATTTTTGTTACTCTGAAATCTATACTTCAAAAAAAAATGCAGGTCAAAACCAGGCTGCCATAGTTTTTGTTTGCAGTTTGCTTCAGAACTGAGCTTCAAAGGTCTGGAGGAGGAATTAAACTCTTTAATTCAAAATAAAATTAAACTACATGTATTTAGTATAATAAAATGCATGCCAGAGACCAGTACCCAGAATAAATTGCAGTGCAGACTTTGTAGTCTTAACCAAAGCAGAGGTATTTTTGCAGTGGGTTTTTGAGCATGTATGTTTATTTATCTTTTGTTCTGTGAACTTTCTCTGTCGGAATTTGCTTTGACAGAAATTCTGACTCATTCACAAGAAAACCAAAATTGAAAAATAGGAGTGAGAGAGGTCAGAAATAGCAGGAGTTCTTTCTGACAAACAGCACATTTTTCCCTAATGTAGAGGGGAAACCTTGAGTTTATTTTTTTCTTGCAAAGCTTCAGCTCAGTGCTCAGCTTACAACTCTCACAAATTCCCTCAAATAGAAGCACACTGACAGTGGGACTGACTTTGTGAGAACTGTGCTCAATAATGAGTGTTGTTATTGAGAATAAGAATCATGGAATATTTTTATCCAAATCAGCCATAACATGTGAAATTGTTAGTATACCTTCATTCTAAGTTAGTGACACAGTGTGCAGTAATGTCCTGTCCTTTGGACTCCTTTAGTCCATTTCTTTGCACTTCAGCTGGTCTGTAAGCTCCATCCTTTCAGGATGAGGTAGGGTGGGAGGATCTTTTTTGTTTTCTCCCTCTGGCAATTGAAATAACATCCTAGGTTTGCGTGCTCAACTTCAGCTGCTGTGTGTTACTACCAATGGCCTGAACTGAGCTACTTGTGGATGAAGTCTGCTTGGTTACATGTTTAGCTTGGTTGTGAGGCTGTGTATGACATGGGAGATGTACAGGAGAGAGGGAAGAAACTGCCCTCTTGTGCGCTTCTGAAGTCTGCTTGAAATGAATTGAATTACTCTGTGTTCCCTTTTGGGTAGCATTGACTGTGCTGGAATATTAAAGCTCAGAAACTCTGACATTGAGCTGCGGAAGGGAGAAACAGACATTGGGCGGAAGAACACACGTGTGCGACTGGTCTTCCGAGTTCACATCCCACAGTCCAATGGGAGGACCCTCTCTTTGCAAGTAGCCTCCAACCCCATCGAGTGCTGTAAGTAGCAACACATGTCTTTCTCTTGCTAGCTCTTGTGTCACTGAACATGCAGCGTTTGGCCATCAACACTTCTGCTGCACCTGTCTAGCCAGTGAACCTTGCTCTGTTTTGCAGAAATGCATGGTTCGTATTGATGACAAAATGCCTTTGCTGTAGGAAAAAAAGTGTAGCTTTGTGCCTTTATCTCTTTGTAGGGAAGAACGTGCTTAGAACAAAAATAGAGTACTGCTAAGCTAACAGTAGGCCTGAAATTGGCAAGACTTGGGTTTTTTTGGTGACTTCCTATCATACAGGTGACAACTGTAAGGGTTTTGGAAAGCACTTACCGTGTTCTAGTCACACTCTCTCCCCAGCATAAAGCAGAAATCAGCAAACAGGACCTGAACACTTTGATGAAGGGCTAGCAATACACTAGAGGTGACACCCTGGCTCAAGTTGCTTAGCATTGGTATTTTTCTAGGGATTGTTAATAGCAAAGCTCCAGAAAAGAGCATCCCTGCATTCCTCTTGCAAAAGCAGTGTCATCAGTGACAGACTTTAAGACCAGTGATAGTACTACATCCTTTTTTACAGGGCAGCACTGCTGCCATTCTGGTAGTCTGAGTCTACAAAAGAAGCAAGCTTTGTAGGAAAGAGCAGTGCTGTTATATCAATAGTTATAGCCTTCTTCCTTCATAGTCATTCATTTAAATAAACAAACTGGTGGTGGGAAGGAAGTTATATTAAGATATCCCAGTGTTATTATGAAGAGTAGCAGAGCCTCCATACCTATAACAGGTAGACTGACATAAAGCCATATGTGTGAGATGAATAATTTCCCCCGTTTCTTTTTTGAAAATGCTCTAGGTTAATAAACATCAAGAAAAAAAGGAAGAAGGGAAAAAAAGGAGCCATGGTTTTATCCTGCTCCTTGCTGTAGCTGATGAGACATTTTCAGTTGCTATTTAGCATGATAAGGCCACAGTTTGAATGCATCCTGAACAGTCCATCCAATGCGCCAAGTTCAAGAGGCCACTAAATATGAAGCCACTTGGATTTGTATCCGTGACTTGCAATTTTAAGTACCATGTAATGAGCAAAAGCGTGGTACATGCCTCCTCAAAGGAATGGAAAACAGGAGGGAAAAAAGAGTGCTAGTGTTATTTCCAGTGCAGAATGTGGAATAAGCTGGTGCCAAAAACTTCATGCATCTCTTAGTGCATGTGACACCAGGAGTAACCATGTAATCTGGATAAAATGTCACATCATCCCTTGAAGTTCAGCCATGCTCACTCCATGTCGCAGTTCAGATGGTAAAATATTTGCCACGAGAATACGGTTTCTGTTTGCATGAATCCACGTGTGCTTTGGCACTCAGGTGTTGGTGGAAATATGCTTTCTAAACCGTGAACTTTTGCTGGATCGTGAGGCTCGTAGCTACTGATAAAAGTCAGTTTGCAACTGTGGTTGTAGTGACAGAAATGCAGTGTGGATGTGGATGGTCTTGTTCTCATGTATGCCTTGTAAATGCGTGGCATATATGCGAGGATGTATTATTTTGTCTCCCGGAGGTGTTACTCTAAAGAAACAAATTTCTCTAAAAATACTCTTTTTGGCACAGTAGAGATCAAGCTGAGTTTTAAACTTAAACATCTTGGGTTTTTTTTTTGAGCTTTTTGAATCTGTGCCACTGTATTTGATAAGAGTATTGTTTGTGATAAAAGCGCTCAGAAACCGTGTTTCCTACAGATCTTCTGACTGTTCCTTGTTTTTATATCAAACTCAGCTTATCTTATGAGAGTAAGGATTGCAAGCATTAGGTCCCTTACGAATGTAATATTTATTTATGTTTGTGTGTTTCTGGTTGCTTTTTTTTTTTTTTTTTAATATACCTCTCCAGCTCAGAGATCTGCCCAAGAACTGCCTCTTGTGGAGAAGCAAAGTACTGACAGCTTTCCTGTTACTGGAGGGAAAAAAATGATTCTGACTGGCCATAACTTTCTGCAAGACTCGAAAGTCATCTTTTTGGAGAAAGCACCAGGTATGTCTTTTCAATTTAGACTCGTGCCTGCCTTCTTCCTCCTATTACAAAATCCTGGCCAAATGGTGATAGCATCATCCCCATAATCACATTTTCCTCCGTGCATAGTATGTTTTCCACATTTCTGGGTTAAGCTGTGAGAGAGGTCTGTGTTGAGACCTCATGCTGCAGCAGCTGTAGACACAGGCAGGCAGCAGTGAGGCTGTTTCTGCAGCAGTGCAGCAGTGGAAGAGCACTGGAGGCCCTCAGTGGCATTCCTTGTAATGTCTGCATGGTGGAGTGGGAGCAGGGCTGTGAGTCAAAGTCAGGCTCTGAAATGAGATAGTTAAGGATAGCTTGGAGTCTTGTTTTGGAAAGGGTTTCCGTGGCACTGGCTCAAGCCATGGATTCCTCAGCTGCCGGCTGAACCCCCCCCCCTGCACTTTCAAGCATCTTGGGCGCTCCTCAGGCCAGCCCTGCTGGTGTCAGCAGAGCAGTAGGAAGGGGAGCCCCGCTGGGGAGAGAGCTGAGGAGATACAGACCTTCTCTCCCTTCCCCTTCCCCCCCCATAGCACCTGCAGGCTCCCAGGGGACAAGTGTGGGGCTTTCCTGAAGGTTCCCATCGTGCTTTAAGTCACTAAAAGAAAGCATCAGGCTGAAGCAGAGCAATCCTGAGCCCTTCCTGCAGTCCCAGGGAGTGAGCAGGATGCCCTTTTGGCTTCTTCAGAAAGTTTAAATTAAAAAAAAAAAAAATGTGCAATATTGCAGCATGAAAATCTGAGTATGGAGGAATGAGATAGAAGGGTGGCTCTGTGTACTTTATATTTAAACTTCATTCCCTGCACAGAACTGGGTTAGTGTGACATTTCAGGAGCTAAGTCCTGGATATTTCTCGTGACAGGAAGGAAAACGTGTTAAACTGTGCTTTCTTTCCTATTTGTTTTCTGTCCTCATCCTTTACTGACTGAGAAAAATTTCTGAACTATCCTGTACCAAAGAACTAGAATGGGGATGCTCCTTGCTCACTAGCAGGTACCACAGTGTGGATTTGGACAAAGCAGGATGCTCACCATTTGACTTAAATTACAAAAGTACAAAACAAGGCCAGCCTTGCTCTGTCTACCCAGGCAGATACCTCCCTCAAGCAAAAGGGATTGGAGGCTGTGCAAAGGCAACATACACAAACAGCATGGAGATCAAGAAAAAATTATATATGCAACGTTTTTGAAAAATCATGAGAAATGAAGGAGTCTATAGTTGCACACTGAGTCTGCTGGTGAGGAATTAAATGATCTAAAGGCCTGTCACTCTGGAAAACCCTGCTTGGGTGTATGGATTGGTAGGATGGACCCATGCAGGAGTGTCTCCTCTACATGAAGACATCACCAGAGGTCCCCCTGCTCTCTGACTGCTGGGTGTGAAGTGGATGGAAACGCTCTAGGAGTCAGACAGTGAGCTGTTGCCATTGAAGAGTAATCAGTATGATTAAGTCAGTAGTAAAAGATGTGATTTGAGACTGCCTGCTTCATTTTAGTGCTATCACAGGAGATTTGGTGCGACTGCAAGGCAGTACTGCCACATGGGAGGACACTATGGAGATGAGCCTTTATAGTTTAAAAGCATCTCATGGAACACCTAGCCTGCATTAATCTCTCAGCTGCCCAGCTGCTGATTTGTAAAGCAATTGTGTCATTAGGAATGGCTCACAAAAAAAGATTTTTGCCAGCAAATCCAGGACAATTTCTATGGACTCTGAGTTGTGTGCTACTTTGCGTAACACAGGTTGATGCATTTAAAACAAACAAGTCTAGTGCATCATTGTCTTAGTGACAGATTGTTCCAGCTCATTTTTGAGCAAGGTCATTGTGTATAATATGAAATGAAAATGCATTCCCAGCCTTTACTTCTGAAAATCAGCAAGGAGTCTTTCAGCTATTGCATGTATATAAAAGTAGGTCAAGAGAAGGAACACCAGCATAGTTTCTCCTCTCAGAAAGTTAGTTATGAACTTTTGTGATTAGCTGGAGACATTCATTAGTTTTGCCACTGTTGCTGGTTTTGTTTTTGAATTCAAAATGTTAATCACGTTCCTAGTGAGTAACAGCCAAATACAGCTATTACAAAGTAACAGATCACAGGAATAATTGCACTCTATAAAGGGAAAATATCCTTTATTTGAAATTTAAACACTATGCTACATGAGTTCATGTTTTCAGTCTTTATTCAGGCAGAGTCCCCAAGCCAGGAGGCAGCCTCAGTGTGCTTGTCTAATTTATGCTAGTCTGCATACTTAATTGGTTAACGCAGAGAGTTTGAGAACACGTTGTGTTTGGCTTCTGTGGTTTTTTTCCTTCTGTCTGAATAATTTCTTTAAGTCTGCTGAGTGCATTGTGGTATGCTGAATGTTTTTCCAAGCATGAGTCCCAAGCTCTCCGTCTTCAGGGCTAGCCCTCAGCTGTTGTAATCTCTGGAGGAATGGCATTATCCCGGCCTCCTTGCGTAGGGAGTCTGTCTTAACTGTGACTCATACAAGAGGGAATCCCTGAAGAATGATCAAATCAATCTTTGAGCCGGGGAGGCAGGACATGGTATTTTCAGCTTAACCCTTAACTGGCTTCTTTTCAGCCAAGGAGCGTATGAACCAGAGCAAAAGATTCTTTGCAGCAGTGCAACGCAGAGGAGGAACTAGTCAGCTGCAGGGTGAAGGTTTGCTGAAAGGACTGTGAAAGCAGGGCTGTGAGGACCCCATCTGGAAGAACCCCTTGTGATACTGCTTGGTGCTGAGGCAGAAGGCACCCCTTCAGATAAACAGTGGGTCTTTTCAGAAGTAGACTGAAGTTAGCTCAAACTTGCTGCAGGACCAGAAAAAAAATTCTCATGTGTTGAAACGAGACTTTATTTCTCAGGATTTTGTTCAGTGTTTTATTGCTTGCATATCAGACCATGTTTTCCAATGATGATCGATGGCATAAAGCAACCATCCAAGAGACTCAGGGATAGTTAAGATGTAAATGCTGAATGAACTTTGAGAAATTTACTCTTTTAAATTCAGCATTTACTTTGACAGAAGGATCTCACAATATACCTCTCTCTTGCATATTACACTAATAATTACCTTCTTTCAGTTTCTGTCCTTATAGTCATGGGTTTCTCTTCCTGATTTTTAAGTGTCTTGTGAGTCTGTGTGTCACGCTTGTTGGGTGCTAGATTTAGGACACTGCAGAAATCTGTTTTCATCAGAAGCATCAGTACTTTCTGAAATATGAAGGTAGATGTCTGCAGCATCCTAGAAGCAAGGACACTTGATGCTCTGTGCCGGTGTTCACTGTGGAGGCAAGCTGTGCATTTTGGTTATGAAAGTGGATGAAATGAAGTTGATGTTCGCTCTGCGAGGAGGCGTTTGACTAAGAGTAACAAAATGCTTTCTTCCCAACACACTCATCTGGAAAAGCTTAGACTGTGATCTGGATCTATATTAAAAGACAATGATTTATTGACTTCCATTTGTTAATATTTTTATGTAGTTTCTAGGTTGTGTGAATATAGCAGGCAACAAAAACTTCAGGGAAGTTAAGAAAATGCAGAGATGTTTGAAGGGTTTTTAAAGACTGTATATCTGGCAGTTACCTTCTTTTTTTTGTTTTCTCTTACAACAATGTCTACAAACATTATCTATCTACCAAGCTGTTTTTGAAAGGTAACAAGAATTACCTTTATGAGAACATAACAGAAACAACCAGACTTCTGTCTCCTTGTGTATCAGAGTATGATGAGTGATGTTTAAGTCTCTCTGTAACTCAGTTCACAAAAATGTTTCTTGTAATTGACAAATGAAAATTTACTAATGAGACACACAAGCCAAGTAGTATCGCAAGCACCAAAGCACAGTGTAGATAGAGATGTATCTTCTTGGCACATACCCATGTCCTTCCTTCTAGGATACCTTAGAGTTGTACAAGGTGTTTTGGGATTTGGAAAGTCCTGCACTATGATCCGAAGGAGTTAACTTATCCAGTTAGGCCAAAAATCTCTCCTTGCTCCTGTAGCTAGAATACTTTTGGCACTAGAGCTAGCTCAAGTATTTCTGGACTTCCTTGATTTGTCCAAGTCGAGACATACTTCAGAGATCAGGTTAAAATGACTGAAATCCTCATTATTAGCAAGTTTTGATATATAGGAAGAACTGGATATTTAGTGTATTATTACTCGTTATCATTCAATTGAGTTTCCACTCTTTAAGTCAGAGCACCAAACTCACTTATTTGGTTTTGTGCTTAGTGACCAGAGCTCAAGGCAAGAATTTTAAAGAACAGAAAGGCAGAAATGTAACACCCAGCTTCATCACAGGATTAGATTTTCAGATAACATTGTCTTTGAAATTCTGATTCTGTGCTGTTAAATTTGACAGCCTTTTTGTCCTATGTGTATGCAACCCTGAAGACGCATCACTCTCTTTAGTGAGCGTAATAGAGTTCACTATTTGTAGCACTACCTGTCTTAGTAACTCCAGGCTTATGGCCTTCTATGGCTTTGAACATGTTGCTGATTATTCTGCCTTCAAATCAACAGTGATCCTAGCACCTGTAACCTAATTACATAATATTCCCAGCTATTGTGCCTGAAGCATTTGAAACTCAAGTTCATGGAAGATGGAGAAGTAAACACCACCTAAGCAACATTTCCTCCAATTATTTTCTGCTGTTTATGGGCATTTTCAAAGAGTTAAACAGTTTTTCAGATTTAGCTTCAAACTGTTCATTGTAGTGTCATTTTTATTATGTTAAATGAATTTTTCTGTCAAAACTGTTCGTCTTCGCTGCTGGAACAGGTTGTGCTCTTAGATCATTAAGACACTGATGTAGCATGATAATAGTTATGCTGGAGCAGATGAGAGATAGCTGGGTAAGATCACCAAGTTTTTGGTGTATATGCCAAAGAAAATCTCTCTTTTCTGTAACTATTTCAAATAGGAAAACCTGAAGTTTCCTTTATGTTGAAAGAGTGGTCAAGTTTGGTCAGCC